AGGAACGGTGACGGTTTTATCCAGTTCCTCAATTTCTACTGTAGATGCATGACTACCAATATCCATATCAAGTGGCGCTTCACTCTCTGTTAACAGCATGTACTGTATTGACACATATTTCACTGTCAGTACTCGTGTTACTTGCACAGCCACCATCTCGCTTCTTACAGAAAAACATAAAAAGCCAATGAGTGTTAAGCTTCAAGCATCTTTTGTATGCGATGGAACTTAAACGGTCACACATGTTATGGAACCACTTCTTACACTCATCATGTTGTATTCCTTCTTCCACAGGGAACAAGTGATTTGGCTGTCCACTACCAACCAATGTAATTGGATTAAGAAGGTTCAAAACACAATATGAACACAAGTATCAGAACCAAAGAGAAATAAAGTGCCAGAAGACGAAATTAAGCAAAAGATTGAACCTTAATCGAAATACTTCAAGTTAGGTCAATAATGTTTTTGACGCAACATGTACACAAGGGCGAATTGATCACGACAAGTACAACAAGTACCGCAAAAATAGGATCTGGTAAATTATGGAAAGATAGTGTCCTTATTTCTTAAGACCATGTCAGATTTTCTCATAAAAGGACTCCTGAAAAGTCGCGTGGAATAACTTAGCCAGTAGCGAACTCCAACATTTAACTACTCTCAAGGAATAAAAGATGTGCCTACAGCCCGCTCAGGTGTGTTGCATTTCCAGTTTCCGAGTGTTTAGCGGCCCGTGGATCTGACTCCAAGTTCGTATAAATGATTGTTATCGCTTATTCTCGTATATCATGGTCGACTTGAATCGCGTTAGTCAATAACGGAATTAAATAAGTCGAATAACGAGAATCGACTTGTGAATACTTATATTTTGTGCATGAAGCAAATGAAACAGCAAAGCAAAATGACACGTATGGAAGATGGCTAGGAAGCCAACTCCATTTTAGTCAAGCGTTACTCAATATTTATAGTCAGACGAAATAAAGATACAGACATGTGATTAATGGAATAAGGAGAGCACACATTTACGCTCATATAAAAACAGTCAAGACTGACAATCGAATAATTGACAAGGTCAAAATATGACTCAAGTAGAATGAACAGATTGGTTTGTCCAAAAACTAGAATAAGGTATATGGGCTTAAAATAATGATTGACACTACAAGTGTTACTCAAACGTTTGTGTAGGGACTAAGCTTAAGGGAATAACTAAAAGTGTTTAAGATGCTATAAATCATTAGGTCAACCCCACGACTCCTGTACTCTGATGCGTGAACGTTCAGTGATTAAAGTTGATCTTGATAAAACTTGGATTTGAGTCCACGAACTGGTATTATGGCTTGCCGTTGGATATGTTCCAGAATATCCTTATTTTTGTGTAGTCAGGGGTGAAATAATATGTTTCTGTACTCTTTTCGACTTGAGATATTTCTAAGGGGGAGTAATCCGAGCTGTATTCGTTGTCTCCAGCACACCTCAGACGGACTTCTTTACACTTTTGAGAGTTAAAGGTAAGTCCGCTGTTGTCTGCTCAACTGTGAAGTCGAGTAAGATCCTCCTGAAGTGACAGTTTATAATCTTGGTTGCAGACTTCTCTGCAGAGATTCATATCGTCGGCAAAAAGCAAAAATCTGAAGATTTATTCAGCAGGAGATTGTTTTAATAAATTAAAAAATAAGAGGCCCTAATACCGAAGCCTTGGGGACCCCACAAGGATGTTTCATGGCCTGAGAAACGTAGTCTAGGGCTTGACAGAGGTGAATCACCAGTCCTCTAAGTACGAATTAGATGTGTGAAGTAGGGGAAAATAAAGATGAACTTTAAATATATCACAATCATTGAGTATACTGTCATAATGTACCTGAAAAAGCATTTCATTGGTTCAGTAGATGGAAAAAGCCTTATAAATAATGATCAACTATTAGATTTTGATTTCATCCCTTGAATTCCATGGTATTTGAGTTAACTGTATCACTTGTACAACCAAGATATACTAGCTTTAGCATGTTTTCATCTCAGTGAGTTTGTAAACCGTACAAATAATGATTCCTATGTACGTCTAGCGAAATAAAAGGGCGTTTTAAATCGTTTTAGGGATATATTTTGTTCATTTAAACTAATACAACTTTATCTTAGACTGAATATCCCATTAATTGTGACATTTCAGTGTTCTCATACCAGATGTGATTGATCTAGCAGGAGACAGGATTTGTGAAGTTGATAATAATATTTTTTGCTAGGTTAGAGTTACGCTATTTTTAAGGCATGATCGACAACTTGCAGCATGAGTTTGCCAGGAAGCACGAAATCTATGTCTACCGTTTCCTGTCGACTACCTCCAACCACCATCTTATTGGTACTGGTGCCTTCCTTTGAGTTCATTTACGCCATGTTCTTAGTTTCCTCAGATCGCCTATATGTGTTGTCAATATATATATATATATATATATATATATATATATATATATATATATATATATATATATATATATATACAGATGGTATTATCTGATTCATTTCGTTACATTTGGTGCTTGAACTTTGTAATTTGTTGCATTTCACACATATATCTTTGTTTGCTTTGAAATTCTACCAACCTTGATCAAGAGAAATTGATGAGTTCACTATGTTTTTTATTTATTTAGTATGTATACAATCTCATTTATGAATAATACAAATAGGTTTAATAAAACATTCGAAAATGTTTGACTTAATCAAAATTTCTGCATACCGTAAAATCATTACGGTTATAAAATAATAAGTGTCGTGCAAACATACTGACGACCAGATAAATTATTCATGAATTACAGGTTTTTAATTTACAATTTGGGACGCACCTATGAAGAAGTGTCATGCATGAAATTTCAAAAGTTCTGGGTAATCAATCTGAATAACGTTCAAATTGTTCAGTGATGAACTCGTACTTCTGAATAAATCAGAACTCAATCATTCAGTGAATAAAGTGGCATAATTTCTAAACAATTGTAGGTGAGAATAAAAAATAAATATATAAGTCTTGAATAGATCATATAACTCAATTCTTACTTCAACGCGTCACCATCAGAGCTACATGACGACAAATAAACAAAATTATTAAAGAATATGAAATCGGTTGGTTTTTAAGGAATTAGAGTTTTGTAACCCTCGTTCTATCTATAGAAAAATCCGGACTAGTAGTTAATAGGTATTATGGATGCCACAGTCATTCGGAGTTTGACGACTTCTTTACATATAACACCTTAATAATCAAATTATATCAGCACAGTGAAATCAGAAGTCGGAAATGAAAGGGTTCGAAAATATCGTTGGAAGGTTTTCACTATGTTAGGAAGCGTTTAGTGTAAACTGGCTGACAGTTGTAAGGGATGCGTGACACATCGTACGCACTCGTAATCGGGTGCAGGTGAGGGACCGAGCGATTTCAGCTGTGTCTAGAAAAACTAATTGGGTTAGAATCAATGTTGAAGGTGCACAGAAATATTTATTTTGGGGATTTATTTTCAGTCCTTGTTTAGACCATGGAACATGGGAGTTCGGGGGCAAGGTTCTCTCTTCCAAACACATAGTGTTTTCAACATTCAATATAGAATGATAAGAAATATGATGCCTACGCAGAACAAGGAAGTAAATAACCACTTAAGCTGTAATATGTCGATATTACAAATATGTTTTTCACCGACTGGTGATCAATGTAATGTAAGTAATTTTGGCTCGATCAATTTATTAAGGTAAATATGACGGTTCGGTTTCCGCAAGGTATTGCGGAATCACTAACTCATCAAATCTTTGATCCCACAAATTATTGCCCATGATTTGCAGCAGGAGTCATCTACATAGGAACGAGAGTTATTAAGTGAATGGAAAGTAAGAAAAAGAGGCAAGAGCGTCTGAGAAAGTGCTGCATATAGGCTTCCCAACAATATGCTGATGAGGTACGACTTTTTCAAGCTCTGTTCGACTTTCATGTACTTATTCACCTGCCTCTTGAATCGCCCTCAAGTTAAAAATAATGATGGACCTTTCTCGAAAAAAAGTGCTGAAAGTCAGTCAAACCTGAAGAAGTGATTCAATTTCTGTGCAGAATAATCAAACACAAAAATAAATGCACAATTACAAGTGATAAGTGTTCATTTACTCATGAACTTTGCTTCCAGAACGGGTTAGTAATTTGGAAGGAAATAGACACGGTGTAGACATCTTAGGCACGAAAATGCAAGTAAACAGAAATTTAGTTTTTTGTGAGAAAATATACATGAACCTGTTGTTAAATGAATTCGTCAGCAAAGTCGATCAAGTGTACGACCTTAAATCTGTGATGAATTCCTTCTATAACCGGGTTTGTAACCGCGGATATAATGTTCGTTGACCAGGACAATCATCACAAGATTAGGAAAAATATGATAAAAATACTGAGGGTCCTAGAATCGAATAGTCTTTTTAGGGTCAGCAACATAATAGGATTGCTACAGAATAACTATTTGAATGATTTGTTGTTAATATGCATGTTATAATAAGACAATATGATGTATGTACCATTGATTACGTTCATATATTATATAATGAGTTTGGGAAGAGCTCTGCTACCTCTTTTACAACGAGCTGCTGAAATGCTTACATGCTTTCAACTTATGTTGATGTAGAACAGGAGATGGTCTAATCAGTTTTAGTTTGGAAAGAACAGGAGGCTAAATGGCCTGTGTCAGTCCTGGCCAATAATATTGATATTATGTACCTTAAAAAACTATCTGGGTGTCAATATCTCCTATCATGTGTCTCTTCGAGATCACCTGCAGAAGGTTCAAAAACTGAGGTCTCATAATCTCAAGGTGCGGCTTTGTTTGTCTCATCGAGTGATGAGTGACTGAGGCGCTCTAATGAACAGGAAGCATTGCTTTACTGATAAAAGCGTTCGAGAAACAACTTGATTTTCACAGAAGACAATTTTTTAGATGGGAATATTACTAAAGAATTGGCTAATTTAATAAGGTAGGTTTAAACACAACCTACCTTGGAATTTTCAAGGCCAACTCTCTATTTCCGCGCATTTAAGAAGTGACGCTTCTTGGGTCTTTCATTTTATCGCGCAGTGTGGGTGTATATTCCTACTGATCATTTGGTACTCCTTAACCAAAGTACGCATTTGGTTTTAAAGTCTTATTGTTGTTTTGCTTTTTAATTCGCGCCATTTTTCAGGACATTGATGGTTTCATAAAATGCACGCAGTGATCACTGCTTTGAAAATGCTGGTTTGTACATAAGGTGACCATGTGATCTTCTGCGTCCATATTTTGTAACAACCACAAAGTTCTGGTGCACCTGTTACCATTTGTTTATGTGCTTGGATAAGCCTAAACAGCTTTTCTGTAACTTCGAACCACGGCCTAAATATTTATTACAGTAACCACAAAACTAGTGAAGCCGATTTTAAGATTTTATTATGAATAGATTCTTTGTTTTGTTTGAACACCGTTGGCTTCTCTATAGCGGTTTCAGTGGTTCTCGTCCGGATATATAAGCCTATATAATCGTAGAAATATTTTGCGTCCGAGTAAGTCTGAGATTTTGGTTACTCTTTCGGGGTTTTTAACTTCAACCATCCTAGATCGTACGTATGTGTCTTGAGAGAATTTTCAGAATTATCCCTTATCTAAGTGCCTCACGTTTAGTCCTGCCTTATCAATTCTTTGTGAAATTTGACCTATCATTGATCTGTAACTAACCAATGTGGAAACAGATTTATTTAATAGTAGTAGGTTTTAAATACGAACTTCAGTTGGGATTGACTTTGAAGTGCATTCCAATATCTAGAGCTGAGTATATCACTCCTGGTCATATCCAGTGTTCTCGATCAGTGTTTGCTACTCTTTTAGAGCTTGGGCAAAAAGGAATACTTTAAAGAATTTTATGGGTAAATATTCCGAGGTAATAAACGAATGCTAATCTGCAAAACCAAAGTAATTTCAGGGTTTTTTGTTGGTATATTCCTAGGTTATATAAAGGCTTCACATCAAGTAAAGTGAAAATGCTCAACCGTCATCCGAGTTTTAGTCATTTTGTTGCATAAAAATCCTTTCATTTAAATTTAAGGCATATTTCTGTCGTGTGCGCTCTATGAGCAGAATAAAAATCACTACACATCGGATATCGTACGTGGTAAATCCTTTGAATCTCTGGTAGAGTGATGTACATTTCGAAAGTAAACACTACTTGAAGTGATGATAGTTTTACCGTAGAGAACCTGTATGAAATTTTTGCTATCCTTAATTACTTATTAGTATACTTCAAATGCTACTAGTTATTTAGCCTTTTGAATCGGAAAACTTCTTAACGACTTGGCGAACACCGTGACGTTTTAATCTGTTTTGTACATATGATAATTCAAAATCCATCTCCGGTTATTCACTGAAGACGCATTTGATTCGGACACGATCTACCCATACCTAATATTTATTTAAAATTCCCCTATATTGTTTTGTGAGCCTTTCCCTTTTCTTAAAATCCTCGTAAGCTTTTCAATTTTATTATAATCTCGTGGGTTTTATGGACTAAGATGTGCTAGTCTTCTACCGACTTTATTCACTTTCCATATCGTTTCTCGTCTTGTACTGTGTACATGGCACCATAATTCAAAAGGACGTTTCAGTACACAAAAGTTCATAGACATTGATTTATCTTGTATATGCACCAACTCTATATGTTATATTTTAAGCTGTAAAAGTTTTCGTACCCATTATTTTGTGGTCTTTATATTTTATTTGTAATTCAATATATTTGTTTATGAAACATTTTGGTTTGTGGGTTTTAAAGCTGATATTCTTTTTTCCTATTAACGTTTGAAAACGGTTATCTCCTTTTAAATGAGATTTATATACAATCTCTTTGTTTATCCTGATATTTGTTGTTTTCCACCATCCCACAAGTGGTTGTTTTACAATTAATTGGAGCTTTAATGAGTTCAGTGGCTATACAGAAATGACTTTCTGCCTTTTAATTTTCCGCTTAACCTAGGGTTATGTATCAGTAGTAATGTGATTTCGAACATATTATTTTCTCTTGTCCGTCTCTGCGTCGTGTGGTATCTTGACCAACTTTTGAATAGTTAACTGAACAAACATTACTTGTGTAGTTTTACTGTCATATCACAAATTGTTTCATCCTTTTTTCACCAAATTGAGGTTTCTCATCGTTTTGTGTTCTCTTTGATTAATGTATTTAGATGTACCTCCCAGCCCCCCCCCTAAAAGTTAAATACTTGTATATCGGACTTATTTGTCCGTATCTTAGAATTCAACGTAATTAGTTGTTAGATGATCCTTATTTCGTTTCTCGATTAATTGTTTACGTGACAGATAACCTGTAGTCTTGTTATCTCAGGTGACTTCTTTATTTTAAGCGATAGGTTTATTTTTCTAGCAATGTACAATTAAATAGTTCTGTTTCTGATGTTCATTCGTTTAACTTTTGACCCTTGGTTTCATGTAGATTTACATATCTACTCATTTTACTCAACTATCAGTTAACTATCATTCATATTGGTGTTGAATGGGATAAATAGGTGTTTCTTGTCTTTTGTAAGTAACGTGCTTTTGTTTCTGTCTTTCATTCAAAATTCAGCCATAAGAGATGTGCTGTCTATATTACTATGAAAACTAGGGTAGTAGAAGAAAGTGGAAGCAAAATGTAGAAGTACCAGTCAGAAGACAAAAGATGATACTATTACCTTTATAGTAAATAAATATCTTTTCCTTGGAAGTAATCCTGTCCACTCAGTACACTAAAATACGCCAATGAAACTCAACACTTTGTTAAAGGGTTAAACTAAGTCTGTTGGATAGTTTGTAACTAAATATTGTCAGCTTACTGGAGACTATTAGTTAGTGTCAATATTACTGGATCTTTACATGTTTCACCTTTGTAATCTATTTCTAGTTGGATTATTGTAGTACCTGAAAACCTTATGGGTGCTGATTTTTTTTCAGGCTTCCTACATGGATAAAAAACTGGCTGAATCTATTGAAGAATGGATGAAGCATGACAAGGTAGCTGCCTTTTCGTTTTTATGTTATCGATTTTGCTTAAGAATGAAAACACTCGCTCACAAATCAAGTTACTGAAAGATAAAGAAGCATGGGATGAGTTACGAAAGTTATTGCTAGAAAGAATGGCATTTGGGACTGCTGGTTCGTATAGTTTAGAGTTTCACTGATATTTTTTAGGATTACGAGCAAGAATGGGACCGGGATATTCTCAGATGAATGACCTAACAATTATACAAACAACTCAGGTAGTGAAAATTAGTCTTAATCCCTATCAGTTTCAAGGGTTTACTTAAGTATTCGCTAAAAACATTCTCAGGTCTCAAGTCAGATGGAATTATAGTTGGTTATGATGCTCGACATAATAGCAAAAAGTAATCGTTTTCCAACTAATATGTCCTATCCATCTAGATGGGCGCTTATTGTCGCTAATATATTTATTAATGCTGGCTGTAAAGTGTACTTGTTCAAAGATACATTCCCAACTCCTATGGTCGCATTTGGTGTTAGGCTTTTCAAAACAGCCTTGGGTGTTATGATTACTGCATCACACAATCCGAAAGATGACAATGGTTACAAAGTAAGTATAGCTTTCTTAACCTAGCTTTTTAAAGGTTTACTGGTCGAATGGATGTCAGATAATCAGTCCCCATGACAGTGGTATATCAAGTTGCATCCTTGAAAGCTTGGTACCTTTGGAAACTTCATGGAACATAGATAATATTGAGGCGAATCCTCTCTGCTTAGATCCAATGCCTAGGCTTTTGAAAACTTACTGTCGACTACAGAAGAGTAGACTTTGTTTTACAGAGTAAGTTGTGTTTGCTTTACTATATATATATAATTCCTAGTTTACAAAAAGTAGGGTAAAAATATTTGATAGATGGATCTGCCTTAATCTGTGACTAGATAGCCTCCTACGTACATCGATAACTGTTTAACGAAAAGAAATAATATATCTATTTATTTGAAATGTTTTCTGAAGCAGTTTGTTGTAGCTTTTCCATCGTTTGTCTTCCGAATCTAGTCCACCATTATTGTACGTTCATATTCTTGGAAAACTTCAAACCACCCATTATTCTGCCCTTAAAAACGTCTCTGATGGAATAAAATGATTCACAATTTTTCTTTTGCCGATTTATTAACCATGTTACACAAAATTTGACAGTCTCCGATCACCATCAAAGTTTCAGTATTACAGTGGTTGGTATTTTAGTTTATTCATAGGATTTTGGGAATTATTAAGCTATTCCAGGCATTTTTTTTTGATACTGCTAGTTCTATAAGCCATGCGACGAAGCCATTCTGAGTATATTTAAGGTCTCAAGGAAATTCTTTTCTGTCAGCTTAAATCCTTGATGTTCAGGACTGAAACTCTGGATATTAGTGCTTATTTGTTAGCTCCAGTGGTAACCACCAATTTCGACCATCTCGAGAGGTCCGACCATACAGCTCAAGGACAACATAACCCTTCAGGGCTCAAAACGGTCGATTCCTTCTTATCATCTAAAATCAAATACAGTATGTCGATGTGTGGCACGTCTTAGTTCTATCATCCTTGAGAACTTGACAATGACATTGATTAGTATTTTGAATTCAACTCGTATACATTCTTGTTTTCTGTGTGAAAAAAGTTTATAGGCTGAACACAATTAATCAACTTTCCTTCGAAGTAAAACGTATTTATAATGGTCTGTAGTTAATTTGTAGAGTATATTTTTTATTTTCCTTACTTTTGGTTTTAATTATTAGATCTGAAAATATAAAATGCAAAACCCCTTTTGTGTATACGCCTATGCATGGTGTAGGTTGGGAAGCAGTTAAAGCACTAGTTTCGTGTTTTGGGTTTCCTCCACTTGAACCAGTTCCTGAACAGGTATGTTCTGGTTTCCTGTAATCTGATTTTTTAAATGTATATGATGTATCGTAGATATTTAAACGTTTCCAACTACTCCTCTACTCGATTAATACGTGAACACAATTTAAGCACATTCAGAAATATATGTTGCTCATCAAACAAGTGTAACGCTAATATTACTACGAAAATCATTTAACATCCAAAGAATCCTCTTCACGCCTAATCATACTTAGTTCAAATCATTCCGAATTTGAATACACATTAAAATTAATGAACATATTATAATATTTCGATGACTGGCACTTCAGTAAAATACTCCAGTAATATTTAATCACTTGGTAAATCACATTCTCCTTGTTATTTGAGGCGGATCAAAAATTTCCAACGGTATTCTTAAACTTTTATTGCAAGTTTTAAGCTTACTGATCAACTATTCTAACGAAATAGCTTTTCGGTGTTATGTTTGCTAGTAACATTAGTCTCTGTCTGCTTAAATACTTGCATGATACTATTGTTAATGAAACTGAAAAAAACTATTGATTAATAAATAAATTTTAGCCCAAGGGAAACAACCAACCATTTAAAGTGCTTTACAGTTTGATTTCTTTAATACTCCTCAGGATACGTATAAGTTGTTCTATTTCAATCAAGACTCCTATTTCCAGGCTTTTCGGCCTGGATACAAACTAGAGGTTAGGCGTTCGCGCGCGGGATCGTGGATGCACACTGCTGAGGAGTCGTCGTCAAGTGCTTCCAGGTTTTTGATGATGGTCTAGCTTAGATTGACTCGTGAATTCAACTTCGAAAATACTGCGATCTCCACAAATCCCCTAAAATCGCTAAACTATTAAACCATTGATTCTCGTTCCAATAAATGGCAGTTTTAATTTGCGTTAATTCATGATGTATCCTAACTGATTCACTAGTATCAATTGTAATCTCATTTTTGGGAATGATCCAGTTAGTACCAAAAGTTGGAACCCCATATTCGAATTTTAAGTGCTCGTCACCAGAGTTATGTCTCTACCAACCTAATGTTTTCGAATCGTTTAAACTTATTCTGTACTACTCTGAAGCGTATTCATTTGTTACTACATATGTTTCAGTTTACAAGATATAAAATGATTTTCACCAAGAAGTATAAATTGATTTTTGTTATTGACTTCTCAGTGATTTGGTTCATATCTAAAACTCAATCCAATTTATACTTAATATTGGAAGTTGTACAGGGGTTCATATATTTAATGCGGTTTTGTGAAATACAATCTAGTTAATTCTATTCGAATACATTGATAAGAGTTTTTCTTACTGTCTATCCTAGTGCTTGTATCGATAATCACTGATTTTTATGCCAGGTTGCTTTTTAACAATGCGGATTTCGGCAATCGTGTTGACTTGCTTTATAAGCGTATCATCCACATAAAAACTAACTCGAAAAATTTATAATTTTGTATTTACAACTTTTCTTTAAAATCTCTAAAGATAATGCCTGATCCAGACTTTCCAACCGTTGACTATCCAAATCCAGAAGAAGGTCGTTCTGCACTCAATTTAGGTATTAAACATGCGGAATCTATTAAAAGTACCATCATTTTTGCCAATGATCCAGACGCTGATAGACTAGCAGTTGCTGAAAAACAAACATCGTAAGTTGATGAACACATTTAGTCTCAATCGTGCTGTACGTTTGCAGTTAAAATAAGCGAAGATTTCTTTGTAAACTTTATATAAGTTTCTTCTTACCTGAGGTAAATCTAAATCAGTTATAGTAAAATATTTACAGTTGGTTGGTCATTGTGTAGTGACTAATATCACGTTTGTCCATTTGTTTAGTACTGATCAAATCTTGTCCATCAAGCCGCAATGTGGTCACAAGCCTAAGTGACTGGACATCGCATGCACTAAGTTGATATGTTAGGTGGTTAACACGTTCCGTGCTATTTGGAAGTTGCCAACGACGTATACTTGTAGTTCTGAGGGAACTAATATTTACTGGTTGATTCAAACCTGCGTCACCCAGCTTCACGGTGTGAAATATCACCATTGACCTATTCGGACAGCGATACGGATTTCGTAGATCAGTTAGTTCCCACTGAAATTAATGCCTGTTTATCAAGCCTTACTCTTTTCTTATCATGCCAGTTACGTCAATTCTGTAGTAATAAATCTATGTATCTATCTAATACTAGTTACTACAGATTACCAACATAATTTTGGTGAAGATCCATAGACATATGTTTTCAAATCCAAACAGATCATTATACATCTTGACCGAAAATGTTTGCCTTGCTACAAGTTAATATTTTATTAATATTTTACTAAAGAATATCATATGTATTTAATTGGTAGTGGTCAATGGAAAATTTTCAGTGGCAATGAACTTGGAGCTTTATTTGGTTGGTGGTTATCTTTGCAGTGGAAAATACACAATCCTCAAGTAAAACGTATGTTATTACAAAAACACATTATTCAAATTTTGAAGCGTTTTCTTCTATTAATCTGAGATTCAATATGGCTTTTTTTAAAAATAATAAAAACTTGTTGTTTAACTAATCCAATTTTACTGAAGCTAAGAGTTAAGTAGGAAAGATATTGTATTTATTGAGTAAAGCAAAGTTATTATAGTTGATGATATGCACATAGACCTTGTGATACATATCTTTTGTTGTTGTTCTTTCCACAGATGTATGGTCTAATCTCTTTTCCTCTACACCTGATATTGGAATTTATGACATCCTGTTATCCGAAATATTTTTATTTTCACTAGCATTAGGCTAATATATTTACAGTTTTAGAAATTTATTTTTTAGTAGGTTAATTTGATTCTTATTTTATCAATTCAGCCCAATCAAGTACGTAATGGTACTTAGTTATGATTGTTAAACTAATATATATATATATATATATATATATATATATATATATATATATATATATATATATATATATATATATATATATATATATATACTTGTTTGTTTTATTTAAACACATAAATATAGGTACAAGAAGGCACCTGATAGATATGCACCACATAAATCACTCGATTTGTGTGAGGGTTAGGATACTGCTAGGGTGCTCAAACCGAAGTAGATAGTCTTCTTAGAGGACCACACCCAAAGCCTTCGACCTAAAGGTCTAATCCACAGGGCAGTGGAGCAATGTCAGGAGATGCAGTCCCATGGTAGCCAGTAACCAGCAGTTGTTTCATACGCCATTTGTTCCTTCAGGATCCTGGAGCTGATGTGCACAATTTGTTTGGAATCAGGGTTTTCAAACTCCCCTATGTGGACCCTCCGTGTCCACCGACCCGGTTAAAGCACCAGACATTCGCTTTTCGTCTTCTCAATTTCGTAAACAACAGTGATGCCGCGAAAAGGCAGTGAGTAGGACTTCCCTTTGCAGTGGCTGTATACGCCTGGCCATATGATAGCACTTCGAGAGGGAGAGTTGACTCTCCTCACTCTTGACCGTACTAGTGCATTTGGGGAGCGAATATCTATTCACTCTTCATTTTACTTTAGATCTCGAGTTCGATCATCCTATAATACATACCTTTTCACTTGTTCTTCTCGAACTACATTGTTAATGCTTCTGCCCATACACATGTATGCCAGGCTCTAGTTCGATTATGACTGACTGATTAAAACTAGTGAAATGTGTTTATGTTATGATGATGTCTAAAAATGTTTAGATTTGTTGGGTTTCACAACTCATCAATACCTTTTCATGACCCAGTAAACTAAATTTTTTAATTTCTTTTTTCCTTGTTGGTGTCTAGTTGATATTCTAATGTATTATCTATTTTTTTTACTCGTTCAAAATTCATTATCATTTATGTATACGAATATAATTTGTTATTTAATTGCTGTTTATTAAGGTAATGAGAGATTTATTGTAAAGAATTAATCTTCTCGATTCCGGTTGTTACAAAAGAGTCGAAGTATTTTTATCCTATAGATTCTTCATTGTCGTGCTACTCTATTAATGTTTAGAATGTAGGTACTTGGTTTTTATTTTATTAATTGTGCGGAGTTCGATAGTTGATTGAGTAGTTAAGTTTTTTCAACACCAATCCTGGTTAGCTGACATTTTTGGAAACTTGTGTAAATTAAAATGGTAAATGTAATAAAAAATTCGTACAGTTAACTATATTTTCCATCTACATAAAATACTGCAGATCGTATCTGACCTTAGTTTTATATATATATATACATAAAGAATATGCATAAACCATGTAATTAATTACTTTGTTTATAGTTAGATTCATAAAAAATAGGTTCAAATAAGCTAGTTAGCTTCTTAATTATCTTATAGACAATCATATGTTCATACAATCGATACTGTTAAAAAATTATAATATTTAGAACTTCCGGTATATATGTATATAGTAATGATGATTTAACTACAAACTGTTGAATAAAAAACTAGGTGTATTCAAGATTCCTATGAAATAGAATTGTCAAGATACTTAGTAATCAGTCATATTTTGCCATATAGTTAGATAGTGCTCATCAGGGGTTGAAATTAGTTAGGAAAAACATTGAGCATCATAAAGCCTCAGATAACAGGTCCTCCTTGGTCTGCGACTAATGTCAATGTGTAACAGTGTAGTTTCCGAAGGTTTTCCAACATCCATTGGCAACAGTATGTTAGTAACTCTGAGGTTCGAAAATATGCGTTCGAGCTTAATGATGGTAAATCACATAGTGTCACCACCTACAAACACTGACTTCGGCAACTTGAAAATATTTTGCGATCATCCCAGCGACCTCTATATCATTCATTATTTGCCGATACTGTATGGCACATGATATTTTTGGCGCTTGGTTGTATCAGAATTTATGCTCATTAAGTAGTATTACATATATATATATATATATATATATATATATATATATATATATATATATATATATATATATATATATATATTCGAGGCGACCGTTTCACTTTTTGTCTCATACTGCTGTTATATGGAAATTTGTTATAGTATCATTCTTTAGAATGTCGAGAAATATCTTAAACTTAATAGCGAAAGTAAACTTTTATGATCAATTTTGTTATATGCATATCGTTTTCTTTAAAAACACCACAACTCAAAAATGAACAATTGTCTACCGAAATTCACAAGCTATTTAGACATTCCTCTTAAGAAAAAGTTTAAACTACTTTTTTCACTCATTAGTTTCATTCTTATTCTGAATATTCAGGTCGAGAAAATAACAAAATTTTACTACCCAGTAATATAGCTACAAGAAAGTATTTTTTTTAAAATACTTAGACAAAACAGTTATGTAGAGAAATATTAAGTAATTGTTAGCGTGGCAGAGCAGTAGTAACATTAATACTAATACAACATTGCTTAATCTGTTACTTTTTTGTTAAAGTTTTGAGAAAATTAAACATTGTCCATTTGTTGTCAAGTTTACCTGTTACTATCCTTTCCCTTTAATTTTTGCATGAAGAAACGTGTTAATACTCCTGTTTTATGTATGTAAACTTGTATCGAATAAAACTAGAGTCTCATATTCATCTTAGGGTAATCATGTATTACAGACTATGTTTATAGAGGATAATCAATATCCTTGAGAGATTAACAGTTCACCTTGTGTTTTTTTTATTTTCACACACTTAGTTTAAACCTACAGTGCATCAAAATTTGTCAACTGTTAGCCAATGTGAAATAACGATATTTCTAAAGGCTTTTTTTACAAATCAGATTAAACTATGCTCAAAAGCGAATTATTTAAGTTTCAAATAGAATCTAAGTATATTTTTTTTACAAAACAGTACAACTAGTACAATCGGAAAACCCATATTTGCTGACTTGCATTATATTCAAGAACTATAAGGTTTACTGAAAGAAATGTAGGTACGTTTTGAAGTCAGTGAAGTACTAGTTTCTTTACGGAAAACTAAGCATTTATAATGTATATGTAAGCAAATGAATAACTTCACGTTCAATAATTATTATTTCTATCAATTCGCATTAAAAACAATTTGAAATTATTGTCCCTCTGGCTATTTATTGACAAATATAATAGTGTTTTTAGGTTCAAATGATTAATTTCCCGATTGATTTTTATCGTAGCGTAATCTTATTTATTCCATTTAAGTAACTTAGTTGTCTTCACCTGGGACGTTTATCTTGTAAGATATTGGTCATAATTGTTAACTTCCTGATCTTAGGATCGATTATAGACAAACATTAGTAATCGGAAGTAAATGATTCTTCTTGTGTTTATCTATGTTTCCTGATAAATTTTAGACCAAGCAAAATATCGACCATTGTTATTATGGAGTACATATAATAAATTATGCACTATTATTCCCTTGTTTACTGTTTTTTCTAACCTTTGTAAGAGTTTGCCTGTTTCAATCACTTTGCGTCAATTATTCTACAAAGAAATAAAGCTACAATCCCTGCAAACATATCAAATTCTGTAGTGGAAGTATGACTTCTAAGAGTCTGTGTATTACCTACCTCTTTTTAAGTCACATGCATTACATCATGATTATTGTAGTTAGGACCTCTTCCCGCCCCAACACGAGAAGCTAAATTAAGCAATTCTGGACTCCGAATAAAACCATTGGAAGCGGAATCGCCATTGCATTTTCAAATGAGTTGAATAGCCAGTTAAGGTTCAAGGGATGGTGAATGTAAGGTTACATATATTTCTGCAATATTATACCCATCTATAATCATTTCTAGGTCGACCATACATAAAATAAATAAACTACCCATATGAATGTAAATTGTTTAGATTCTATATGCGATGTAGAAAATTAGTGCTATTAGAGCTTTAGGTATGTTTTAATAAAATTCCCCAGATTGAAGATAAATACTTATTTTAAAGTCTTTTAATTTATTACAGTTCTACTACTAGCATATACTTTTTTGCATTTCACATCACGGACTGACCTTACTTAGAGAACCATTGGAAACTCGGCAACATTGGATAGCTTTTTCGTCCTAATATGAGACTGCTCTTCACTGCACATCTTCAACCCTATTGGGAATCGAACCCAGGGCCCTTAGGTCTGGTAGCGATTATTTAAATTTCAAACCAGTGAATGGATGTCCAATTGTTTACGCCTCTAAATTCAATCAATTCTTTATGTTATTCGACCATCATCCAGTGCTATTGATTAGTTACTGGCTCACTCTCGTGATGGTTGAACTCCACTGGTCACGATTATCTAGCTAATGTCATTTTGTGATATAGTCTATGAAATTCAACAATCTCCGTAAATCTATACTAATATACGCTTTCTCAAAAACATCACCTTTTTATATGTACTAGTTGCGTATGGTCTCTTTTTCGAAAGTTTCAGTTTCATTTAAAAATGTTGATAAGATTTATTCAAAGTCGTTAAAATTCCTTTCTCATTTGTATGTTGAATCAAGAAAAATGTACTTGTCACTGTTATTTATTTTAATTCACTAAATATTTGATCGAACCACGTATCAGGGTATAGTCGAGCCGATTTTTCGGGTTTATTGTAGGATAGTAACGACGAAAAATTTAAAATTGTGTTTCATGCCTTTCACAATCCACACTAAATTTTCTACCACCAACACTGAATACAGTTTCTTATTATTATCAAGATGCTTGTTCAATGAGTTGAAATTACAGATCATACAGTCCAATGTAATATTTAATTTAATTTTATGTTACTATTTTACAGCTTCCAGTGTTGCTGTATTATCTAGTACTGTGTCTTCTAAAATATTAAAAACTATTGCCGAACAAGAAGGGTTTCGATTTGAGGAAACTTTAACTGGTTTCAAATGGTTGGGTAATCGATCCTGTGAGCTTGAGTCGCAAAATATTAAAACAATTTTCGCTTTCGAAGAAGCTATAGGTAAGATTCATCATTATTTCCTGTTATACACTGTTCTTCCTGCAATTTGTTTGTCAATAACAGAAATCATAAACATCTTATGAATTCGACGGTCCATTTTATTAGATCGTTTCTTCTAAACTCTTTACTTTTTTGATGAAAATTTGATTTAATATCGAATTTCCTTAAAGCTTCAATAAAATATTTAATTTTCCGTTTACGAAGCTGGGAATTATATCCGCCTATTTTATGTTTATTAATAAAATTCATAATATGATTAAGACCTTTAAGCCTTTTGTTTTAATCATATATCACAACTGTTTCTTTAAGATTATTTCACACTCACACATAATTCCACTGTGATTATTAGAGTGGCTCGTTGTAGTTAGCTTATAGAGAGTTCGCCTTATCAGAGGCTGGTGCAATGAGAAGAGAGATTCGAGATTTCTTTTGTAAAATACTCACTAGTTTTGTGGATATTTTCTTGTTGTGATATTATTTGGTTATCCAACCATTTAAGTAAAACATCTTATTAACAGATATACATTAACTAGGAAACACAGAAAAAGCTATGTGAACCAAAGGGTATTTAAGAAATTAATTCGCGTTCACTTCCACATTTAAAAATCTAATAATAAGCTATACAAGTTTTCGTGTCCTGAACAACATTAAGTCTAGCTAAAGCATGGTTGGATTGGCATTCACTTGTTAATAATTTCGGCACGTGGAAAAAATGTTTTAAAGTTGGTCATGAACGAATATTTTCAATACATTTCAAGCAATGCACTATATATATATATATATATATATATATATATATATATATATATATATATATATATATAATGTTTAAGTTAGTACCCAGTCAGTATGTCAGTCAATGAAATTATGTGGTAGTATCAGCAAAGATAAATGTGATATAAAACATACACATTATTTACTAACTGGTAGGCTTCTTCAGTTTCTCATATTAGCTGTTAATATGCATCGGAGATGAAACATAACTTATATTCACGCGATACTATTTCATAAATTCAAAGAATAGTGTGAGGACGGCTCCTAAAGAACTCAAGGAATCTTTAAAAAGTTATAAAAGAGCCGAAGACATTTCATCTAATCATCGTTTTAAAGAATATTCCAGAATCTCGACGTGTAGCTTCCCGAATGGACAAATGCTACAAATCACTGTATACAGATTGAATAACTGTAATGATGATTTCGTTTTTATCAAAAACGATAAATACCTGAGTATTTTGCACCATATTTGACACTGTTTGGAATAAGATTCATTTCTACTCTTCTTTTGTGTTCTATGTTGTGACTTGGAAGGTTCTAGCGTTCGAGTGCTCAAATTATACGTGGTATTGCAAAAATCCATGTTTTAGATATAACAAACAGTAATCGTGATTGCCTAATAAGTTCTAGTTTAACAGTCCATGACCAGAAAGTTACAAAGAGATTTGTATACTGAATTGTACTCTAGCTCAAATTTTTTTCGGTATGCTTTTTAAAATCCATTTGCTGTAGTTTGTTCTGTTTTTATATTGATCAGCATGATTTTGCAAAATTCCATTAGTTAAATCACATTTCAGTTATCAGTCTGTCATGACTATTCCATTGTTTTTTATTTAATTTCGTAACTATTTGGTGATAAATACAATTTTGTCAGTTAATTAATTAGTAATATCATACAATTATTTTTCCATTGAAATGCAAGAAATCGACATTGTTTATTTTTTAAACTTTAAACTTTTTCTTATGCCGGATAAATTCACTTCCATAACCTTTGAATTTACTCTTATTGTCAGGTTTTATGTGCGGTGATGTTGTCTGGGATAAAGACGGTGTTGGGGCTTTAGCAGTTATGGCTGAACTCACTTCTTATGTTTATCATAAAGGAAAACTATTATCTGATCAATTAATAGAGATTTATAACATGTAAGTGTTAATAAATGGATTATACTTAGGAGATATTAACCTTTATTGATTTTCATTAGAATGGGGATTTGTGGAGATTGTAGTAATTTTAATATTGAATTCTTGAGTCGATCTAAGCTAGACCACCATTGGAAACCTTCTGAGGAGTTTTATACTAGGATGAAACGGCTGTTCAGTGCTTCCAGGTTTTCACTTGTAGTCTAGCTTAGATCAACTCATGAATTCAACCATTAAAAATTATTGATTTATTGGCTGGTAAAAACACTCAAACCTTAGGTCCAAAGTGTCTTAGGCCTATTTGACTGTGAAGACTTTAGTTTCGATTCACTGCTTGGTCATTAAGCTCTGAGATGAGGGAAGAAGATATATTCCGTCATTTATAAATTTGATATGATACCATGTTCAAGCAACTACTCAATCGCTGTTATAAACTTGGTAAATATTTGTCAATTAGTTACTCGAATAGTGGCACCTGATATTTTGTTCATCCTACTCTTTTCTTTTTCATCTGGAAGAGTATCTAATCACTTTTGGGATGGAATATATGTTTCCAGTTAGTTACTAAAACGATCCTAGTGCGTTGTACAGGATATCATCTGGCACATAAATCAAATTATGTGGATTAGTGTTCCCTACATTCATGTCAATCATCCTCCTACGAAGAGCTTTAAATATCACATTATTTCGTCTTTACTTTATTCTTTCTGCAAACTACGTACTGTTGACTATTAACAGTCAAACGTTTGACTTCAATGTATTCGAAATTCATGGTTTTCTTTTGAAGATAAGTTTACTGGTTATACCTTTTCTGGGTTTCTAATTACCTTTTATTTAATTGTCATGCAGTTGACTTTTTGAACTCTGTTCATTCATCATTATAATGTTTTTCTTAACTTTAAGCACGCTCGCACATGTACACACCCTTTTTTCATGACTGATTACTACAATCTACAAAAATGAATAACCTTAAAGAATTGATTTTTCCCCCTCACAATAAGGCCATTAATGATTTAATTTTGATTTTAGAAAATGCATTTGGAACTAACTATAGCTAACTGGGCAACCATACCTTTTCCTTTTTGTTTGTTTCATGTAATAATATTTTAAGTTTATGAATATTTGTCAGTTGCTTCTCATTTTTGAATTGACTAGATTCTATCAGCTGATGGCATATCCACATATTCTTAGATTACTTATACATTCTAGTAAACTTCCAAGTGAATTAAATTTGACTATTCGAGAGATCGCGAATTTTTTTCGAAATCAGATAAATGCATGATTTTTAAGAATCAATGTAGATAAAATGTTTTGGTCCATAGCTTCCTGTTAATTAACTCGGAGAATCGTACTCTGTATTTTTGAATATTCAATGATGGTTGTGTTGTCATGGTTACTAGTAGCGACGCATAAAATTTTAGAATTCTAGGAATTCTACTTCATCTAAACTCAGTTTTGTTCGCTATAGTGCAACGTACACGAGGATACATGTAAATATTATGTAGGAATTACATGTTTGTATTGTAACAAATATGTTCCTACAGACTAGTAATTTCATCAAAAATGATTCTATATCAAAGATCATAGGCATTTCTAAACTATGTGAGATCAACTATTCCCTTTATTACGATGAATTGCTAGGATCTTAAAATAAATTCCTCTAATAGTTCAGTCATCAAGTATTGGAGTCTACATTTTGACTTTTCTGCGCGAGACTGTTAGGTCCTGGGTTCGAATCCCGCGAGGCGGGGTCGTGGATGAGCACTGCTGAGGAGTCCCACAATAAGACAAAACGGCTGTCCAGTGCTTCCAGATTTTCCATGGTGGTCTAGCTTCAATTGACTCATGATCTCAACTATTGAAATTACTACAATCTCCACAAAACCCTTTCTGATACTTTTCTGCTAATGTTTGTAAAAATCAGAATTCATCCAATAGCCATAAGTCATTTTCCACTATTATCGTTTTTGATGATCTGTAAATATATCTTTCATACAAGAGTTATTTTCACTAACACCTTATTTTAACCACAGACGTTTCATCTATTCATTTATTCCAATGGCTCGTTGGATACTTTAGTTCAATGTAATGATTCGAACACATCTGGGGGAAAAAAGTGGCATGCTTCATTCTAGTCAACTAAAGTTATTTCATTAAGTACTTTAACTAATAACCATTTTACGAATGTTGATAATTTAAATAAGTAATAATAAGAACGGGCAGCGGAAATTTTTCAGATCCAATGTTTACACCACTGTTCATCAGTGAATTCTAGCAAGAACCATGTGTTTCAGACCATTTTAACCAATTGCAGAAATAAACACGTTTGTTTTTATTTCACATACTTAACTCTATATTATACACCTAATATGGACAAATTATTACTTTCTTTGCTGCCTTTTCACGTTACTTTTTATTGAATATCAGTTATGGTCAACATATTTCCAATAATGGTTATTACTTTTGTCATGAACCGGAGAAAATTGTTAAAATGTTCAATCGCATACGTAATTGGCCTAATGAACCTGGTCCTAAAGGCTATCCTCAAAAACTTGGTCGATTTCAAATAACTGGTATACGGGATTTAACAGTTGGTTATGATGATCATTATCCAGACTTAAAACCGGTAATATTAATTCAATTACACACTAATGTGAACCATTTCCTGTTATTGTTTTCAATTAAAGTTGAATTAGGACTAACACTAAGATCCGGGATTTATATTTCGTTTGCTGAGTGTATTTGAATCTTACTGTTATTGTTTGTGTTAAGACGTGAACTGAGTATCTTTGACTTCAAATTCCAACAAGTCATCCACTATGTTGTTGAGTCCAAGTAGGCACTATCTTGTGCAATCAACATGAATTTTGTTTATAAGAGTATGGATTTTACCTTTATTAATATCTTTCTTGGTATATATGCATTCTAAGCAAATTACCCTGATGTTAAGATTTAATCATAAGTTTTTATTAAAGTTAAATGATGGTTGCAATAGAATCCAAAATACACGTTCTGCCCTATTGTATTACTTTTTTTTCTCAATTCAATTTATACATTATTTAAAGTTCATACTTGTTTCGAAGTAAATGCACCGTGTAAAATTATATCATATACGTAGAAAGATAGGTATACATGTGCATCACACAACAATGTAATCACGTTTTCATAAAGCTTGATAATTTGTGTATTATATTGTGCTCGTTTAATTAACCTAAGGTCATCGAATCGGAGTCAAAACGTTTAATAAACTGTTTATGTGTAGTAATGCATTGATATAGATCAAGTAAACCAATTTGAAAATTGACTATACCATGGTAAAAAAATATTTAATTTCAAAAGGAATCATCTTATCAGTAAGCTTAGTAGGTATTACTCTACGTATTCTATGCAAATAAATAATAGAATACAGTGATTCTTTTTTTTATATCTTGTCATTCATATGTGTAGTAATTTAATGCTTTAATGTTTAACCCTTTCGTTTAGTCCACCAATGAAAAATCTGACTTAATTTCTTCTTTTCTGTCCAGGTATTACCTGTTAGTAAGTCAAGTCAGTTGATTACTTTCGATTTCTCAAATGGTGTGACACTAACGCTTCGTACAAGTGGAACTGAACCAAAAATTAAATATTATTCGGAATTGAGGTCGAAACCTGGAAGCGAGTAAGTGATTTCATTTTTCTAACATTATCATTTCTTAGTATAAAATCCCTCAGTAACCCATACTTCCAGCATATTTTGATATCATGTTTATTATTTTTAAGACTCGTGGAGAACATCTTAATGATTTGCAATAACGCCTTCAATAGTAGTCAACTTGATCATTGAATTGTTTCGTTGTACATGTCACAACTTTCTATTGGATTTTAACTTGTAACGACTAACTGGCACTACGTCTACCATGGGACTTAGCTATCATAAATATAGTTTCAGAATTGATTTTGAGTAGTCTCTGATGTAGGTTTTCGCACTACTCCTCAACAGATACCCAGTTTTTCATGCTTTTAGACAATTTTTAATTTATGCATCATCTTATGGAAAATATTTTCGAATCAGTCAGTGTTTTCAAAGTAATGTGCCACATTGTTTGTTTCTTTTTGTTATATGTATCTACTTTTTTATATACTTATTGTTATTAGGATGATGTAATTATGTCATCTATTTTACAGTAATACACTGTAACACGATAAAAGTAGGGAAAATAACGAAACTAACAGGAAAGAAAATAATAACAATAGAAAACAATTTATGACAGAAAATAAAACATTTTTGAAAAGCTTATTCGTTTGATGAGAATGGATGTGTTATTACGATTGATCCTTAGTCATTTCGTTTTTTAAAGGCACTCCTCGTCCCCCTAACTAAATATTATTGGTTGATGTCTGATAGACCCATGATAAATGGACTTTTTCAGTTTTCAACCTGATTTCACTCAGCTTTCATAAAAATCACTTGACCATTGCAATGTTTTGTTCTAGTCACTGTAATACTCACTGTCATTGTAATTCCTATAGCTAAACCAACAAGTATAGAGATTTAGGAAATGAAAATCATCATTTTTGTTGAAAAATAATGTACTTAAACTTTTTCCTGATAGATATATTTCAACTGTTCAACAAACTTGCTATGATCCCTTTCAATAAAAAAATATGCTGTTTTTATTGACTCTTGAGTATACTAAAATCAAATAACGGGAGATAATTACCTGTGACATAGAAGATGGTTATCGATAATTTTTTATGTCACAAAGTGGAAATCCAATTTTTTTTACATTTAGAATTTTAGTTAGTCTATAGGAATGGTGTTGTTCTCATCCAAGATTATGCAGTGAATTCATCAAATCTGGAAATATTTCTCCCTATGGATTTAGACTAGCCGAGAATGAATTAAAAGCAAGGTGTATCACTTTAGTAAATACTTATCATATGGCTCGTGACGAATATTCTGAAATTGTAGTGTAAAATAGTAGTAGTAGTTTACTTATTGACTACTTTATTGGATGAGGATCATATCCTATTGCAAATTAATGAATATTAGAAATATAGGTCACTGGATTCTACTTCAAATATGATACTTAGATCGACACTTCAATATCCTATATTCATTCTCAAGTGAGTTCCCAGATGTGTACTGATGTGGAGTAGTTACAGATTAGAACGAAATAACTATCGAGTACATTCTAGTTTTCAATTATCCTTTAATTTATATTAATTTGTAGTACAAATTACCTTCATTTTGTAGAAAAGTTTTATGAAACCACTTTAGTAAATTATATTTGTTTATTTATGAGGAAATAATGTTAATGTGTAACTGTTCTCCAAGATTATTAGTATCTTCATATGAAGATATTTCTCTTTTTTTTCTTTAACACACTCCTACTTCTCGACTTGTTGATATAAGCTGTGAAAACTTATACCAATTTACATTCATCAAAGATATCTGAATAATTGACTATTTTACGTTTATTAATCAGTTAAGTTCATATCATTCTATTTGTTTCATACATTCAACTGCAAAGTTTTATTCAAAGATATGAAGTAATCTAATGAATTTTATATTATTCACATGTGAAATTTAATTTAATTAACTAAATAGTTTGATTAAAAGAAAATTGTTTATTACTAATTATATACGTGACCATTTATTGTTTAGGTCAAAATCTATTGTGTTATATATTAGTTTAGATGAACCCTTTCTATTCTTACATAAATGATTATTTCTAATTTATCTATTTAATGTAATTCATGTATTAACACAGATTATAGATGAAACGTTAATTATAATTCACAACAACAACAACAACAAAAATCATACACATCAAGAAATATTAATGTTAAGAATTCTATCTCACTATATTCAATTCATGTAAATTTATCTAACTGTAAAACTAATTAATTTGACTTGAATTTCTTAGCAATAACCAAATTTTTTTTAAAAAGTTCAATGTTAAGAAAAATAAGCGGTAAGACTATAATTTATGGGCAATCTTTGAGCGACGCTAGACTGACTTTGAAACCGTTCATCTAATAACTAGGACCAAATGAGGGTTATAAATCTGCGTGAGGAATTTGAATTTTGATTTACAGTTGATGGTTAAGGTTAGTAATTATATTTAGGGGTTTTCATCACAAACTGACATCAGCTTTAATGTCAAATTGGTATTTAATCAAATGGGTGGGTTAACTCTGTGTTGAATGATGGATGTAATAAAAATTCAAATGAGAAATAAGTTAGATGAATTTGTTTTAGACATTCGTTTACTCAGACAGATACGTAGGTAAGAAGCGAAGCGGAAAAACAAAGCATAACTCAATATTTATAGCCAGATAGAAAAATCAGATATGTGATGGATTGAACAAGCGATACATACATATACAATCATATAAAAATGGTCAAAGTTAGAATGGGATAGATGACAAAATCAAGTATAAATGCTGACTCAAAAAGTATAAATCAATTAATCTGCTCAAAAGCCGAAATAATCCATGTAGGGTATGACAGCACTAGAAGTTGTAGTCTTTTAATATTAGTTGATATTTCTCACTGATGTCTCATGAATATAAAATCAGTGCATGCTGAACACCATCTACTCTCTAGTGTATATTAAAAAGAATTTATGTTGAATCCATTGTAAATTTCATCAATATACTAATTGCGTCTATTTGGTTTTCTTTTTTTTAACCAAAACAAAAATCAATGAATTCCAGAGCATCTGTGGAATCTTTAACAAATGAACTTCAAGAACTTGTGAATAAAATGATTGAAGAATTTTATGAACCTGAAAAAAATGGTTTTCTTCCTCGTGTGGATTAAATTGACGTTGTTATTTACTTATTTGTTTTAGTTGTTTATTAGTTTAAAGGAAAGAAAATCATGCTTTGTTTTTTTGTTGTTATTCTATGTACTTTTATTTGCTCACTCTTTGTTACTGACCTTTTTCTCTATTTTGTTTATTTGTTTATTAGTTCACTAATTTAATAAATTTTGAATGATATTTTCTGTTAATTTGTAGCTTTGATTTTCAATTTCATTTTGATGAACAGAAAAATAAAGTGTTTTAATTATTTGTTATTGTGGTTTAATGTTAATTATTTCTGTTATATATGACTGAATCTACTGGTATCTGTTGTTATCTCAGTTGTTAACACAAATAATTGGATAACGTTGCTTATCTAATAATGTCAAGATTCTAATTAGAATGGTAAATAATGGGATTGGGAATGTGCAAAATTTCTGATCTACTGATGAGGAATGTATCTGTATCGTAGTTATCTTTGATATTCTCAATCTATTCCATACTCAATCTTTCTTAATTCAAACATAATTTATATACATTCGATTTTCAGTAACACCTGTTACTGACAAATATTTATTGATAGTATATCTATTTCACTGATGATTTATATATGGCTGGATTGTAGAAAATTTATTGTACTTGAGTTTTTATGAGCTCACTAATATTTTGACATACGAATAGCTGATGGTCTCTAAAATGGGTGAAACGTGTGTCCTCAATTCACTGTTTAACAGGTGGATTGGTACGCTTGTGTTTCACTACTACTAATTCTTCTTGTACGTTAAACATGTGATCGGTAAGCTATAACTCAATATATTTAGTTACTTGCTACCGTTTCGAACGTACTTTGGGTTTTATCTAACATAAGTGATATCCTTCCACACTCCTAACTATCTTTAAGATTTTTCACACTGAAACGCTCTTATCTTTTTTAGATAAGATTTAGTATCTCCAGTTGACAATCTTGATATTATCAATCACTGTATGTAATTAAACCTAAGATAATTCTTTTGTAAAAGATGACTTTCAGAGTTTTTCTGGAAGATATCTGTCAAAAACAGTAATAAGGAAGATGATTCAATGTTGTTTTTGCTGGAACAATGTCATATTGATAAATATTGGTTGAATTGGTCAAGGCAATTGTACGTTGAACAATAATTCACTGTTTTCGTTGCTCTATTTAGACTAAATGACGGTCTACACAATAATCGGACGAACTCATACTTCTGCGTATTATAGGATTAATGAAAGAATTTATTTCAAGTCCACTTTTATATTAATACAGTTAATTACGTTACCTAACACAGGTTAAAATTTGAAACATAAAAATTGAACCGATTTCAAAATCATGCAAGAAAAATATTGTGGTAGATAATGTATGGTTAATTGTACTTATGATGTGACTTGATGTAAGTCCAGGGTACGTCTTCTAGAATGTATGTTTATTTAAATTCCAACCACATTATAATAAGACGAAAACTTGAATATATCGATTTAATCAACATAAGATGTACATATGCTAATCAAGATTAATCAAAATCCAGTCAAAAATATGAAAACGGGATAATCTTAAGCATTACAAATTAAAAGTCCTACCCGTTACACAGGTAAATCAATATTTGACTTCTGTAGCTAAGTGGATAATATGTTGGTGTTTAAAGTGAAATTTACGGGGTTCTAACGGTGGAGTGGATGTCATCTTTGGGATGGATGTGCATCCAGTTGAAGGGTACCGAACAGGACTAAATACGTGTTCTGGATATCACTACTAACCACATTCCGTCTATACTTTGCAATAAATCTAAAGATTACTATTTACTACTTTGATTGTCCAGTTACCTATATTCATGTCAATACTGTGGATATCAGGGAGCTTTCTAATAGATGTTTTTTCTACATTCTTCCAAAGTGATTGTTAACAGATTTTCGTTTTCGAACATGATTTGTTTCACAATCGTCGGTCACTTAATATTTTTGTATACTAACTAAGTTACTTATGAGTAGTCAAACCAGAAATTCGTAATAATAAGACTCAACCTTCGGTTTACCAGAAATGAAAAGATTGCGTGGTATTCGTAACGTCTACTGGAATTACCTAGTTTCTTAACCTTTGCTAATCGAGTCTGTCTTGGGAGTTACTACTGAAGGGTCATAAATCACTTTCACCAACATCGAAATTGGACCATAGTTCAACAAAAAGATTAGTTGGAACAAGATTTTTTCCCGCGTAATTAAAGCATATATGACGAAAGTAAACATGGATTCTAGTTTTCTGGTCCGTGATATTGAGCGATCACCACAAATACCTTTTACGATATTTACCTCTTTTTCATCATTTTCAGACCCTATCAATGGTGTCTAGAGATTAAAGAATTCTCAAACTTAGTCACTAGCAAACACAAATTCTATTAAGGCAAGAAATCAGCTTGAGCAAATCATTCACTATTTATAACAATTTAATAACCCAGTTATTGTACAAACACTTGTTTATTTCCGAAAATGAAAAAAAGATCGTCATAAAACACAGTAACTTTTCTCTAATGATCTCCACTGAGATCCAGGAAAAATTACTAATGAGTAAAAGAAATATTGGTGAAAAAAGATTTATATAAATAAGTCTTATGGAAAAATATTTGTGTACAAAAAGGATTATTCAAGAACAATTCTATGACAGACTATTATCATCCAAGGGACGGTATTGCAACAAATAATTTACAGTTAAGCAATAAACTCTCGACTCTAAAACTCTCAACAAATATGCACTTTTGAAAGCAATGGGGATCATTAGTGTCTAACATTGGATTTGTTATATTTTACTCCTTATGCAGAACTTCAGTCTTTCATATTCTTTAAATACAGTCAGTTTATGACGGTGTAAAACTGTTAATTTATACCATTGTCAAGTGTTAACCTTAACTTTTGATTTACATATATATGTAGCACAAACTAGTTTTATACATGTAACTTTGGTTGTATACTCCCAGGTTTTGTAGTATACAGTACTTTTACATATAGTTTTAAAATGATTTAAGAATACATCTTTTGGATATTATTATATGAAGAAATCGATGCTAAATGTCCATAGTCTGTTGAGTGTTGCACGATAGTTTACATGATTGGTGTGCCATATTTCTAAGATATGCTGCTAAATCCCATACATATATATAGAGTGTGAATGAAATATTTATACATCAACTAATCTTGTGTAAAGAAGCTTATCGATTGACATATCATAATAAACAATCATTTCTTTGAAATCACCTAATATCATTTAATTGTTCGTACAGTTTAGTTCCTTTACTTAGCATAAATATAATGTGAATCTTTCAGATGTGGTTACGATAACTCCTTTTTCTATTCACAGAAATGAAATATCTCATCTCGTTTTAAATTCACTATAGAGAGACATTTGATTTTTATGTATGTCTGGATTTCTCTACCAATCTACGTACCGTGTTTGCCTGTACAACTATTTTTGTCTGTTGCATTTTTCGAACGTTTTCTTACCGAATGTTAAATTCTGACGCCAATCATTTTTTTTATTTTAATTTTTACAGCCTGTTTACTTGATGGCATATATTATATGCTTACTACATGTCTACTACAGAGTTTACTTACTCATTGTATAAACATACTCTTCTACTTAACTGTTTATTAGAAATAATGACGAATTTTGAAGAGAGTGTTGTTTTTCTCACTTCAAGTATTATTATTATTATTACTATCAAAGTCAACCGTGGTAACTGACCATCTGTTGCGTGGATTTGACACATTTATTTAGTTTTTTTTTCTTTTTGACAAACTACAAACAAAATATGAAATAATGCAATAACAATGTAAAAACAAAGTAACAAGAATTTTTTCTCAAGAGGATAATCCACGTCTCTTTATTTAGGCATACTGAACTTGGAAAATTACGTAAGTCATGTGATATACTAACACAAATGACTAGATGCATATGGTAATTACTTGGTTAGATGAGGAAATTTCAATCTATCCCTTTTTTCATCTTTTGAATTTGGGCATAGATTTTTAAATACTGATAAAGCTTTTAAATTTATTGGTTAATTTAATTACATAAAACATGATGTAGTCAACAGGGATACAAAGTAACTATATGATGAAAGTTTAAATAATTTTGTTCAGATCACTCCAAAATCACTAAAAAGCTAGACAAGCATAACACTGATCATTGTTAACTGATCAGTATATTGTAAATATATGTCCTACAGGAGACTAGTCGCTCTCCAAAGAGCTCAGCGGTAATGTCTCATATTATAAAGCTAGACTACGCAAGTTTTAACTTACGTGGAAGCATTAGTTCACTCTAATAGGCATGGTTTCCTACCAATTATCTAACGTCTTAACATTGTCCACAAGATGTTGAGCCATTCACATTAGTGATCACATTGTTATTTGGTCGATGGAGTTTAATCAACAGTGTAAGACAAAACGAATATGACATTAATCACTACTCACTAATTAGTCAGTTATTATAATCAAAAATATTAATCGAATCTCAACCGAGATAACTATGCATTTAAGTGTCACCTTGTTCGTATGATATTTATGACTAATGTCGTTAACAGATTTATGTTTGGTTAAAGGGCAAGAACTCGGCTTATTAAATTAAATATAAACTTTAGGATTACAAAACAAATAATTTAGAGTAAGAATTATTTTTCAATGAGTTCATTTTCATAGAGGAACCAATTGTATTCATGTGAACAAAGTTATATGTCTATAAAAAAATTGTATATTCAGTATATTTGATATGCACTTAGCGGCAGAATCTGCATTTCGTCCTATTAAAGGAGAACCTGTTGGATGTACCTGCATCACTGTGTATATGTTCATACTGAGGCTTGAACCTAGTATCTTTTATTTCAAACATCAATACGTTATCCACTAAGCAAGTGATTCCAGAAATTCTGACTGCAGGGAAAATCGTTACGATCCTCTCAGGATATACATATGACAACAGAGAACGACCGAAATTCAGTAGTGAATATCAGCAATGGGGAATTATAATCTCGCAGTAACGGTTTGTATTTTTGTCAGAACAGTGATTCACTTGTTATAAGCAAAGATGGATGGAGGCTAGCAGTGGAATCCAGGACGCAGGTTTCGTTTTATGTGAGGCTCATCAGCTGAGTGCACCTACATCGTAGGGCCGATGCTCACTCCGGAACTCAAACCTAGTACCGTTTGCTTCAGGCACCATCACGTTATCCACTTAGCTACTGAGTCCAGATAGCCACTAGCTTGTGCTATG